AAGAAACTTTATAGAGGGAGATCCAAACTCAGAATAAGGAGGAATTTTCTGATTATAAGAACCATTACACAGTGGAACAGCTTGCCTTTTGGGGCTGGGGGGGCTCCATCACTGGAGGTTTCCAAGGCAGGAGGTTGGCCTCCAAGCCCCTTCCAACCCTATGACTATCTATCTATCTATCTATCTATCTATCTATCTATCTATCTATCTATCTATCTATCTCAATCAGACATGCAGGTGATTCTTCCAGAAACTTGTCTGGATTATACATACATATCCAGACAAAACTAAACATTCAGTGGGCTGTAGGTGATTTGGGATTATTTGAGACGACATTTATTGCCAGGACTCTTATTTATCCCTGCCATTAGTAAAATAGTGAGACTCACTTTTCAGATACCTCAGAAGGGTGGGACAGAGGGAAAGGCTTGTGTCTAGACTCCAAACTCCAAACATGTTTATGAAGTAAACAGCTAAGAAACACAAGGGGGAGGGACACATAAAATATAAAGGTCAAAATAAAAGTCCCAGATAAAGAAGTTTGGATGAGAACCAGCCAAGGGATCTGGTACACCTTAAAGAGCTAAGAAGGATAAGGAGGAACATAAAATACGCCCATCAAAAGAAAACTCTGAGAGTAAAGACTGCAGGATGAAAAGAAACTAACAAAGGGTCTTTTAAAACCTCAAAGACTAGCAAACCTATTTTGGTATAATGATTTTGTGGATTGGAATCCACTTCAATAGATGAATAAAGTTTTGCTGAATTACAGAATAATTTTATATATCTATGTGGTTAGGGGCAAAAGCTTTGCAATATTTTTCTTCTAGTTCTTTTTTTCAAGGATCTCAAAATATATTATTCTCTTTCTTTCTTAAGATTCATTTATGTATTTAATAAAATCACAGGACAGTGTCTCCTGGGACTGTCTATTTCAGGCCACAGATAATAGATTGCATTTTTTAAATATTTCCTAGAAAAACAAGTTGGAATGAGTTACTAAAAACTTTCCTATATGCTATTTATTCTCTTTTTCTCTATATATGTAAAAGAGAGAAAAGCAATGAAAAATGTGTATGTAAGAGACAGGGTGAGCAAGGAAAAATGTGATGATGTTATTACAAAAATGATAGAACTTCTGAACTTGAGTCAGAGGTCGTGACACAAGTATATCACTGCACCATTTCAATGATGTCATGATGCACAAGTTGTCACTGAGGCATCATTTTAACTTGTTATAGATGCCTATGAATGTGCTGATTTGAACAGTAGAATCCGAGCTTTTGATCACTTGTAGGGAGCAACGGATGTACAAGCTGGGTTTCGAAGAGGCAGAGGAACTAGAGATCAAATTGCCAACATTCGCTGGATCA